AAAATTCAAGTGATCTATTAGTTTTAATCCTTCCTACCTCGTCCCAACTCTCTATACCTGCGGAGGGGGAAGAAAACCATCACGTAGCGACGCTATCAGAAACCATAACCACGTGCTGGCTGGGTTGCCGGCTTCTCTGAGTTCCAGGCAACGTGACCATGTCCTCCTTCCAAGTTTTGTAGGTTCTATTTGTAATCAAGGGTCAAGTACCTAAATTAAAGGTGAGCAGAATGTGCCCGTAGCCTATGTATTTTGCTTTTCAAAAGATTGCTGGAGGGCACGCCAGACATGCCAGTTTGTACTCGCTATTAAACACAACCCATCCCTCAAAGGCAAAAGGCTGAGGGGACACTCAGGTGCATGCGTGTGCATCGGGGTGGTGACCCCCGTTCCTTGGCTGCTCTGAATACCATCAATGCACTCCAACGACTCTTTGCTGCTGGCGTTCTGAACATGGCCGGGAAGAGCGAGTGTTGCAGTAGAGGGAAGGGGGTGTGTACAAAGCACTGCAGTGATGTCTCCCCGCTTCTTCGACAGATTATGAGCTGCGCGGCCATGGGAGCCCCCGTCCAGGTAACATGAGTGACGGGCCTGGACCGAACACTACCGCTCACAACGAATTCGTCACCATCGTCTTACCCGTGCTTTACCTCGTTATATTCGTCGCGAGCCTCTTGCTCAACGGTCTAGCCGTGTGGATCTTCTTCCACATTAGGAACAAAACCAGCTTCATCTTTTATCTCAAAAACATAGTCGTGGCTGACCTCATCATGACACTGACCTTTCCCTTCAGGATCGTCCACGACGCGGGCTTTGGACCTTGGTACTTCAAGGTCATCCTCTGCAGGTACACGTCCGTGTTGTTTTACGCCAACATGTACACATCCATCGTGTTCCTGGGGCTGATTAGCATCGACCGCTACCTGAAGGTGGTGAAGCCCTTCGGGGATTCTCGCATGTACAGCATCACCTTCACCAAGGTCTTATCCATCTGCGTCTGGGTGATTATGACCGTCCTGTCCCTGCCCAACATCATCCTCACCAACACGCAGCCCACGAGGGAAAACCTTCATGACTGCATGAACCTGAAGAGCCCCTTGGGGGTCAAATGGCATCAGGCCGTTATCTACATCAACAGCTGCTTGTTCGTCGCGGTGCTGGTGATTCTGATCGGATGTTACATAGCCATCTCCAGGTACATCCACAAATCCAGCAGGCAGTTCATCAGCCAGTCCAGCCGGAAGAGGAAGCATAACCAAAGCATCCGCGTGGTGGTGGCTGTGTTCTTCACCTGCTTCCTGCCCTATCACCTGTGCCGAATCCCTTTCACCTTCAGTCACCTGGACAGGCTTTTAGATGGATCCGCGCACAGAATCCTCTATTACTGCAAGGAAATGACACTTTTCTTGTCTGCCTGCAATGTGTGCCTGGATCCAATCATTTACTTCTTCATGTGCAGGTCGTTTTCCAGAAGGCTATTCAAGAAATCCACTATCAGGACCCGCAGCGAGAGCATCCGGTCCCTGCAAAGTGTCAGGCGATCCGAAGTCCGCATCTATTACGATTACACCGATGTGTAGGGGGGAAGGCCACGGGCCTCCTGCGCTTGTTGGTTGATGTGGAGATGTACAAAGTGTAAATAAAGGCTTCTTTTTGGTTACCCGTGATGGAGCCCATCCATACATAGTTAAAAATAATAATGATAAAGAGCAAAATGTTCTAAGTCCGGAGAGCGGAGGAAATCATTAAGACACCAGAAGAGTAAGATAAATGAGAGAGGCTGGCTGAGTGGCCACACAGGCCTCTGAGTCTAAGGGGGGAGGGGAGGGGGCAGGAGAGCCATGCATGACAGTCCTCCCCTAGGAGCTGAAATAGAGGGGGGGAAATCTATTTAGCCTTGGGGTCCAGCCTTTAGAAATACAGGGATGCTCTCAGCCCGGCTTATTGATTGTGAATCTCACTGAGTGCGTATGGATGACTTAGGCTGTCCACAGCGCTGTCTATGAACTCTGGGCTCTCGGGTGTCCATGTCTTGCGTTCCTTGAGGGACACAGTGGGCTGGATGGGCAAGGTGCACGAGGCTCAGCTGAGTTTGTAGACAGTGTGTTTAACAGCAGAATT